TATACTGCATGGATCCTTTTTATAATCTAAAGTCACTAATTGTAGCTGCGATTACATAATGTGCACATGTTTCTGCGATTTGTTGATTATTTTATTATATATACTATACAGTCTATATTATGGTTGAACATGATTTCATTTTAAGTTGAGGAACTTAATCATTTACGATTAATGGTGTCTAGTCAATTATGCAAGCAAAGGAGGTGTTGGCTATGTTTTTGGGTAATAAATACCTATTCTTTTCCCAAAAAAAACCTCTTTTAACGCAATTTCCATATGGAAATTTGACAACTTTACAAGAGAACACCCGTATTGTGAGTGAATTGCAAGCCGACGCGTCGCTATCACACAAGAGCAATGCGAATAAATTATCAACGTACCTGTGATCTTCTGCTCCCAAATGTCAAGTCATCAACACTTCACTTCGAACAATATATCGAATGTTAACAGGAGACGTTCCTACAGCTAACACTACAAATGATGCAAAAGTTAATGAACGTGTTAAGAACTTGGGGATCCAGAAATTGCCATTGATTTACGTTAGCATGGAAGAGGTAGATCCAGCAAATATGACATCTTTTAGAAAATTTAAAAACCTTCCATCTAGATTAAAGTAAAAAATTAATTAATTATCTACTTATTATCATTTGGATTTTGAATATACAAGATTATTACAACTTATCAATTGATTAAACTGGAATAGTTCCGCTCCTCAACAAATTCTTTTCCAAATACTTAACAATGTTGAAGTATCTGATACAAAACACCTTGCACATCAATACTATTAATTCTACGACTCTTGCGCTTCATAATACTATATTTGAGTTTTATTTTCATTGCATTTAGGTCAATTTTGGTATCAGCAATTATATTTTCAACATATGATTCATTTGGGCGGATTTCGGAATGTCGATCACCAAATCCGTCCAAATGTAAATTTTGCGAATACGAATAATAATATTAAAGTTTTTTGGGACGAGAAAATAACCATCAAAAATCTTCTAACTAAAAAGAACGTGAGATAGGTGCGAAAAAAAATTATCAAATTATTATTTACCTCAAATCTTCTTTCATTTGTGTAATAATTTATATTTATATATTTACCCTGTAAAAAAAGTTGATCCGTTTTTATATTCCATCTTTTTTTCCGTAAAAGGCTCAAATTAATAACCTTATATCACGGAATTTTTTAAATTATTTTCATTTTCCGTGAATGATCCGTGAATCTCCTGACTTTGAACATTTCCATAAAATTTTTAACATGTATAAATATGATGCAATTATGCAAACTTTTTTTGGGTTTGATTATTTTTGAAAATAAGATTATATGATCGTATTTTTTATTTACAGTACATTTCATTTGTTTTAATATTAAAAACAATTCTTTGTAAAATGTGGAAAAAATCCAAATCCGCCCTAAAAGATAGAGATAATGCCAGTCATTTATATGCATGTTGTATGATATTTTCTTGATGTATAAAGAAAAGAGACGTAGCCAATCATTAATTCACGTCATACTTTTACCTAGTATCTGTAACGTCTGGAGTGGGGTGCACACATACACCCACTCAGACTCAGGTGATCATCAAAGGTTATAACCCTACTATTTATGTCACAAGTGTATATGTTATAACCTTATATGGGCGGCCCATGGGCAGCTCACTCGGACATCCAATCATTCCAATGTCTTGTTCCCGTAGACTACATAACTTGGGCCGAACTTTACAAGACTACCCAATATTGAAAAAATTCATGTGGAATTATGCTGACTCGGATATCTGATGTCCTTATTAATAGGATTCCAAACACACAGTGTCTTATTATTTATTAGGTTTCCCATAGCTAAAATTTGGGCCAAATGTAATTCTGGCCCAGAATTCGGATATATGATATCCTTAATAAGGAGTCCAGACACATAATTTTAAAAAATTCGTATTTATATATTTATTATAATTAGTCAATAAATTAATGCAAAATAATTAGTTATTATTATATAAGACTAAATTTATTAATAAGTAAATCATATTTTAATTTGAATTTTACATTTATTATATAAATTTTTATTTAATAAATATTACAAGCCAAATAATTCTATTGTTTATAATTTTAATTTATTATATAAATTTTTATTTAATAAATATTACAAGTAAAATAATTTTATTGTTTATAATTTTCAACTTTTTCAGTTTCTTTCAAAATAAACTTTTGCTGTTTATTTATATCTTATTAATATTAAAGTATGAAAGTATGATATTCTTAAAAAGTTATAATATTTAATGTTGCATTTGTGTATATCTTTGATAATTTTATCAATTTAAGTGCATAAAATCGGCAGGCAAAAATTTCCTTGTCTTTTCTCAAATTAGCAAAAATACATAACTTTATTTATTAAATAAAAAACTTTTTAATAAAGACATAAATATCACTTCTTAAGATCAAAGTTTATAAATGATGATCAGTAATTCTTGCATTATACTTAATAAGGTAGACCCTTACTTATATATATATTATTTACAGTTTGTTTGATCAAAAGTTAAATATGCAAATTTTGTATATCCAGACTTCAGAATTCATGCTAACAGGGATATCAGATGCCCAGTTCCTAGAATCTCATGCTAATAAGGACATCAAATGTCCGGATTTCAGTATCGAAACCTAATTATATAAGACTCTAAGACTCTATATCTGGAATCCCATTTAATAAGGATACCAGATGTCTGAGCCAGCATTACATTTGGTCTGAATTCTAGCTTATGAAGATCTAATAATAAGACACTGTGTGTCTAGAATCCTTATTAATAAGGACATCATATCCGAATTCTGGTGGGCCAGCTTTACATTTTGCCCAAAAGTTGTGACATAAATAGTAAGGTTATACCTTTGATCGGCGCCTAAGATGAGTGGGTGAATGTGTGACAGGCTATGCCAAATATATTATTTTAGAGTACAACTGCAAATGTCAATTTGCTTGACTGTCATAAATTTGACTTCGCATTTTTTCATGTGATATCTTAGAAAAATATTTTTGCGCTTTTAAAAATGTGTATTTTGCATACTTTTAAATATCATCATATAAAAGGATTAATATTTTTGCACAATTTTATTATATTTACATGAAAGTTATGAAATATTTATTAAAAACGCTTCCGAGTATTATTAAAAAAAAAAAATTATAACTCCACAAATATTTAAGCTAGTTCCATAAAAATCAATATACATGAACTTCAATTTAAATTAATGAAAATCAATACAAATTAATATACAAGTATCTCATACCTCATAAACAACTATCTTTAAGCATTTTTCACCCGTTTAATACCAAATGCTGAAATTATGTTGTGAAATTTCTATAAACTGCGTTTGTTATGAAATATTTATAATAATATTTTACACCTGAAGTTCTGCTGCTGGTGAATAATGTTTAACTTTATTAAATAACAAATAACAAAAACTTTTAAATATTAAAATATATTTTTAGAACATGAAAAGGGGAAGAAAAAGGGAAGAGAAAAGTCTTTTATCATAAAGATGATGATGATGAACCAATCAAATTCTTGTCTCTAATAGTACGGTAGGCAAATAATTTGGCATTTTGGCGTAACCTGTCACACGTTTCACACATCGGAACGGAACGAACTAATGTACTTTTATAGAAAGAAAAAAATTTTTTTTTTGTTTTTTTTTGACAGGTAAAGCTGTGATACCACTATTCATTTGATAGGAAAAAAAATTTTGTTTTTTTGACAGGTAAAGCTGTGATACCACTATTCATTTGATAGAAAGAAAAAAAAATTTTTTTTTTTGTTTTTTGACAGGTCAATTTTTTTTTTTTGTTTTTTGACAGGTGTAAATTTTTTTTCTTGTTTTTTGATATGTGTAAATTTTTTTTTTCTGTTTTTTGACAGGTGTAGATTTTTTTTTTTGTTTTTAAACAGGTGTAAATTTTTTTTTTGTTTTTTGACAGGTAAAACTGTGATACAACTATTCACATGTGATTTCTCGTTACTAAAATTAAAAAAATATATATCAAATCCCTAACTATAATGATACAACTGTACAACTATACAACTATATAACGCAACTATATAACACAATAGTCAAGTCTGCTGTGTTCAGCAAAAGCGATTAATAAGGAAATGATAAAAAAAAAAAAGAATAACCTTATTTTTAAAATAAAATTCAATCATATTAATATAAACAAGATAAGATTTAATTCATTCAGGAAAAAAAGTTACGATACTGCAAACTGCAAAGCAATGAAGATTATTAACAGAATAACTTTATTTTGAAAATTCAATCATATCATATATATAATATAAGTAAGATAAGATTTAATTCAGGAAAAAAGTTACGATACTGCAAACTGCAAAGCATTGAAAATTATTAACAAATAAGATTTATTAAGACAAATGGTACGCTGTATATATTCAGTATATATTATTACTCTTATACACATCTAGATGTGTATAAGAGAATAATATAAGTAAGATAAGATTTAATTCAGGAAAAAAGTTACGATACTGCAAACTGCAAAGCATTGAAAATTATTAACAAATAAGATTTATTAAGANAAAAAAAAAACCTGAGTGTAGTGTATAAACCAATATTGTTTAGATAAGGAGATAAGGATATAATATATATATATATTATATATATAATTAAAAATTAATTTAATGTGTGTATTGATTGTTACTTATCTTAGCTTCATTGTATTTATATTTATATAATATATAATATATAAACGAGATTTCTTATCTAACATATAAAAAAAAAATTTTTTTCTTATATAAATCCACCAAATTTTTTAAAAAACATCTTTACTCTTCTGAGTAATTATTCACCCTCTTTTTCTTCCACCGAATCCTTTCCTACTCCGTTACTTTCCTAAAATCTTTTCTTACGTAATAATGTCTAACGAACTCGCTAAACTAATAAATGGTCCAGCAGACGAAAAAATCGCATCGAAAGTAGGCGATCAAAATAATAGGTCTCCAGCAAAATCCCGAAATCATAAAACTCATAAATGCCAAGTTTGTACTCGCAAATTCAACAGACTGGAACATTTAAATCGACATATCCGGACTCACACTGGAGAAAAACCCCATAAATGTACTTGGAACGGATGTTCCAAAAGATTCTCCCGATCCGATGAATTGACAAGACATAAAAGAACTCATGATAACGCATTTAAAAATAGAGATCACCGAAATAAAAAGATGATTGCAGTTTCTTCTAAAAATTTGACCTCTCTTTATTTCCGTGATCAAGCTCAAAATGAAGGAAATAATTCATCATCCCCATATGCATCGTCTCGTATAACATATATTTTTACCGAATCTACAACTTCACATCCTAATTCTAAACCTTTTAATTGTCCAATTAATGGATGTACGAAGAGTTTCACTCGACATGGACATTTATCAAGACATGTACAGTCTTGTCAATCAAAACGTAATCGTGAAGAAAATGAGAAACCTGTTCACCCTCCAAGTCCTGTTACATCTTGTTCCAGTGGCATTTCAACGGATGCCGAAACAGAAAGACCACCAGTTTCATATAAAGATTCAGATCCCGTCATTATCAATCCTACTCCCAGGGGTCCTCCTTTTTACGATAGTAACCCTACACCGATGGAACAATATACTTTAATTAACAATATTGGAGTATCTGGTACGAATTTAAACACCTTGCACATTAATGGTATTAATACTACGACTCTTGCGCCTCATAATACTATATTTGAGTTTTATTTTTATTTACCAAATGATGCTCGTATCTATCGTGCCACTTATTATCCATCAGAAAATATTCGACTTTTGAATAATGGAATTAATCTATCTCATATCTCTGATTACCAGTTGTCGCATCATTATAATTTACAATCTCTAATTCGACAACAGATTCAGCAACAAGTCCAACATGATCCTATTGCTTATCAGCAAAATAGCATTCACCAACAAACCTTCAACACTACTCATCCTATTTCTCAAGTATACTTAAATAGTGACTACTATAATACAGTAGCAAATAGTGACACCTATTATACAGTAGCAAACGGAACTGTTTCTTATGATATGCAAGATATGAGAGTTATGGAATTCCAGAATTCTCCCTAAGGACTTAGGAGACCCATCATTATATGGTAAGATTAATTTATTTATTTTCGTTTACGTCAAAGTTCGGTAATAAAATATGAAATGATAACTCATTATTTTTTTTATATATAATTGTTAATTTGTTCAGCGTAAATTAAATGACCTTTGCCACATTTTCTCTATAAAGAATGATTTTCTTGTTCAAGATTTATTTAACTAATTTCATTTTATAATTTATATATTTATTATTTTTATTTTATTTGTGTCAATCATTGCAATACATGTGCGAAGTGAGTCTTCAAGTCTAAAAAGTTTTATGAAGCCACTATTGATCTATAATGATACATCATTAATTTTATTCTTATTTTATTTAAGTGATTTTGGTTTTGTACTAGATTAGTATTTTATCGATATATTTTATTTTATTTTATTCTATGTTTATATACTACTATCTCGTAGTCTTATTTTTACCTTATTTATCAATTTGATAGTATACATATGGTTGATTGCATATCAACGACATAGTTAGTATATGAATTTTATATCGTATATGGAATCATATCAATAAACATGTCACGTTTACTATAGAAAACGAATTAAATTTTTTGTATAATAGAACGAGGTTCATTAAAATGTTATTAAAAAAAATTTATATACTCGTACAAATGTGTTTAAAAATGGTGTAGTTCAGCGTAAAATTTCAAGAACATATATAATTAATTGTGTTTTATTTGTTTTAAGACTACTACTAATTTGTTAAAGATAAAATTCAATTACATTTAACTGTTAACCCTTCTTGAAATACAAAAGAAAATAATTTATTTATGATCGTTATTTGCTTATTTCTTTCTTAATATTCCCAAATAATACATATACGTTTTTAAAAAAAATTTTCAATTACTTAATATTACTTACGGAATCCTCGTCAAATCCTGATGCTCCACTCCTTATTAGTATTAACATCTACAGCATCAATTTAGCAAATACTACTCCCTTAATAATTAATATCCTTCTTCTTTTTGTATTCTCCCTCCAGCTTTTTGGTATAATTTCCCTTTTTGCTTTCTTTCCTCGTAAATGTAAATGAGGTTAGAACCAGCTAAATTCTGACCGACTAATTTCTTGAAACTATCAAAGAACACCACTAGCTTGTCTGTTTATCCTGGCGGGTTAAAAGTTTAAAAAATGGATTTATTCAACCATCCATCGACATCCACTAGCAATGATTGGAATTTTTTGCGCTCTTTACGCATTTCAATTCCAAATGACTTGGAACCAATAATAACTAATTAATACGGAATTAATAAAAATAAAATCATGATTACCGGAAACAGGTACATCTAAATAAACTGAAATAGTGGTTTCAGCGATAGTAAATTTTATATACTTGCTCTTTTTCATCGAAGGTGCTAGTTTCTTAAGCGAGGGAATGTCATACAGTACGATGATCCCAGTGTATTTTCAACATTTTGGCTTAGTTCTTATTCTCCCTGGATTCTTACTATTCCTCAAATTTTTTTTTTTTACTCTTCAGAGGTAGGATTTGTGGCTACATGTTATGCAGACTGCTAGGTCACGAGGAATTCTCCAGCGAGAAGGTACAGTACGCACATTCCGAGAGGTGAGTGCTATCATCTACGTGAAGTTATAAATATTGAACACCTTTTAATAAACCATATGTAACCGCCTTGTTATTACGAACCCTTCCATGCAAATAATCTCATTTAAAGGCCATTACAGCCCGTGATTATCATATACGTTGTGACTTTACAAAGTAGTGATTATCAGGACATTGACTGAATAGAGGATATAAACGCAATTATCTTATGTAATTAGTTCCTCAAATATTCCCATTTGGTCTTACATGTGACTCAACTACCGAAATGATATCTCAACTTAGTGTCCGATACGGGATCGTATCTGCTATATACACTATTTGACAACAATTTCTTCAGTACGTTTATTGTATTTAGAAAAAAGGACATGGTATTTTGTGAGGTGATGAAAAGACACGTAAAAGGTCACGAAATGTCCCCATCTTCAACCGATATACTCCCGTTTTTATGTACCCCTATATTTTCTTTAAAAGAATGTGAAAATTTTCTAGAATTTTTTACTGCGGGATTACAATATAAATTGCAAAATATTGGGAAAGAGTTATTTATTTGTTTGGTCAACATTCTGTACTCATATAATTTCTGTCAGATGAGTGTCTTGTACTACAGAAACCCAAGGGGTCAATGTATTTTTATTTTTTATCAATTTTAGTCCGGGTGATCATCACAGTTGGCCAGAATTATCATTTTTACCGGCACTATATTTTTTTTAATGCTGGTCGATCGTCATAATTTCAGTCACCGCCCATTATTATAATTGTCTATAAATAATTTTCAAAACTGGAGCACATTTAGACCCGTCTCAAACAATCATCTCAAACGCTGGTTTACGGCAGAAAAAAATTTTTCTTCTTAAACAAACTTCAATGAGATATTAAGTTTTGCCAACTTATGAATAAAATTTTCTGAAAGAAAAGGATCGAAAATTTTTTACATTCTTTAAATGCAAAATCCACTTTAAATATAGTAATATTCCTCAAATTTAACGCAAATTTTACAACTCAAAAAATTACAACAATATTATTGCAAATAACAATAGCAATTTTTTCAAAAAATACGATAGTAAACACTTTCGATTAAAAAATATATTATTCTTTTTTATTAATTGTGATTTTGAAAAATATGAATTCGGATAATCAAACTACACAGGATTATTCAAGTTTACCAATAGATCAAACTGGAAATAGCTTCGCATCTTTACAAATTCTTGATAATAGCAACGATAGTATTCAACCATTTCATCATGACTCAATTAACAAAGTAGGGATATCTAATACGAATCTAATTAATACAATTAATACTTCAACTTCAGCGCCTCAAAACGTTACATATGAATTTTACTTTCCCTTACCTAACGATACACGTATCTAGCACGTCACACCCTGACGATCACTTGATGCTTTCATTAAGAATGGTACTAAGAAAATAAAGGTACTAAAAAGGAATGTTCAATGATAATTTAAAAAAACTATGACATTATGAACTTTGTTGTTATTATGCTTTGACATAGGACCCCGAGCAATACATGAAAAAGTAAACAATACGGAGTTTGCGACAAAATAATGTATAGAACCTTCCTTTTTTGGATAATTTCAATAATTTCAGGCGGAATTACGTAATTCTGGCCCTGAAGAGTTGCGTATAGCTAATCTAATAGTAAATTAGTGTTGACCTATTTATATGTTACACGATGTCCTTTTGACATTTTTGTTTTTTGTTCTCAAGGATCTACGGAACTATTTTTTTCACGTTCAATTCACATTGGTTTTACTTTTATTATGTCACAAAAATTTTTTTTTCTTGAGTAATATTAGCTGGATATTACATCATAATTAAATTAAATAACATTTTTTTTATTGGTAACACGATTAAGCAACAAAAAGCAGCAACAAAGGACACATGTTATGTCATCTTCTAACGTTGACGTACACCAAAATACATGGTAAAAAAAACATTTCAATAAACAATTTGAACAATACTAGATTTTAAAAAAAAAATTACTACAATGTTAATCATTAGAATATTGTTTATTTTTATGCATGAATATTTGATAATAGGAGTTTATTATATTTCAAAGAACCAAATATTATAATATTATAGTAATATCCCCTCATCTAAATAGAATAAATATTTTCATATAACTTTCACCAGAAAAATATAATATGCAAATAGCGCTTAAAAAAATTTAATGATCAATGAGATTATTTTTTAATTTAATTTGATATTTATTATATCTTATCGAATCGATATTCTTGCGTTTCTTATATTGGCATTTTTCATGAACAACACCCCAATTTTCATTCATCATTCTCAATTGTTCTTGTAATAATGATTGACTCATGAAATCGATGCTCATTAGAGTGAAATTTTTCAATTCATTGCATGAAATTAATAAAGTTTCCAAGAAGCTTAAATCTTTTGTTATATTGATAATTGTAGATAATGAATTAAGTTTTGGACACGATTTTGCAATAGATTTTAACAATAATTGAGTGTGGTTATAATGGTTTTGACTAGGATTCTTTATATAAAAACATTGTAAATGACCTTTCGTTTTTCCTATAAATTTAGCCAAAACATCTAAAGGTGGAAGATGACCTTGAAATTTTAAAACTTCCAAGAGTGGACATAATCCATTATAGAATGCAGCAACAGTTTCAGGTCTCCATTTCCGGAGAGTAATTTCTAAATGTTTTAACTTTGAAAGAGTATTAAGTTGTTTGTATGGTAACATGAGACAATCCAAACCAAGTTCTTCAATTGAATGTATTTGTATTAATAATTCCTCTGGAATTGGTTTTGATTGATTATAATAACGACTATTTCGATCTATGCGGTTCGAAAAATGTATAGCTTTCAATTCTTTTTGATCTTTTAAAAAATTAATTAATAATGAAGAATCAAACCATCTGTCTCGTATATTATTATAGAAAAGGAAATGAATTACGATCTTTTTAATTTTTTTGCAATCACGAAATATATTACCGAGATAATAAGGTTTACCAACTTCTAAGTAACAAAGATTCGAAAGGTTATTGAAAGAATTATTTCGTATTGTCATATTAGAAATGTTAAATAACGAAAACTGTCTAATTTTTGTACAATTCCTAAAAATAATATTAAAAATATGATTTGTTAAAATTGATGAAATCGAACTTTCATCATATTTTGATATCCACTTTCTTTCATTTTCATCATAATAATTCTTAAGATTTTTGTATTTCCAAGGCGTTACACGAGAACATTTGTCAATAGATCCATGAAATTCGACGGATTTAAAAATTTCCATATAGTCCAAATAATCCCGGATTGATTTCCCATATTCATGATAAGTAATCTTATAGTATTTACATGAATTTAACTTTTCTTCCGTCAACATATCAAAAGGAAACATTGAAATTATTGTTTTGAGTAATTTTTTTGAATTTGCTGCTCCATTACGATGAACAATTGAAAATGGATTCTCCCATAAATAAGGTATCGAAATTTTTAACCATGAACGATTGACTAGGATACAATTGAATAGTGTGCCTTGATCAGATTCAAAATGCTCGAAAATATTTTGGAAACAATCGTAATTAAGGTTTGGAACCATTATGACTTTTTTTTTTAACAAAAAGCGAGGGTTGAAACAAGTATTTTAATGTTTTTTGCCCAATTTGATTGTCAATTAATCAATGTAATTCTTTCCAAAAAATAATTCTTTCTGTGGGTATGTTTGTTGTTGTTTTTCTTTTCTTCTTTTTTTTATTTTCGTATTGAAGCCAATAAAAATTTAAGATTCCAATTTTTTTTTTTTAAAAAAAAAAAAAAAAAAATTAGTACTAATGGGG